CACACACACACACACAGACACACACACACACACACACACACACAGACACACACACACATACACACACACTAATTAGTAATAAGTAATTCAAATACTTTATTCGTACACTAATGTAATTACACTGTTGAAGATGTAATTAGTAACTAGTAATTAATTACTTTTTTAGAGTAACTTACCCAACACTGATACCAATAATATCAAGAAAAAAACAACGTTGTGCATAACGTGGGACTTTTAATTGCAAACACGCCTGAAATGCACCAGGACTTTTATTTTGAAACACGAGGCCGTATCGTGATTCCTGTTAATCCATCCCTAAACGTAAGATCTCTGACAATGATGAAAGGCCTTTAGATTGAATGTAGGACTCTTTAAGGACAGCGTGTGTGATGTTAAGCGGTTAGCGGTGTGTTTGGTTACCACAGAGGCGATGACGGACGCGGTGGCGGCGATCTCGTAGTAAGTGGTCCACTGAGACGTCTGCGTGGCCGAGTTGAAGAAGAAGGTCTGCAGAACGTATTTTCTGAAGGCCACGTTATACGGCCGCTGCCAGCTGAGGATGACAGCACTGGGACTGAGCGGATAAACCACCAGATCACGCACACCTGTCGGCTCTGACAGATCAAACACAGCCAATCACAGAGCAGATTCAGTCACGGGGGGCGGAGCTTCATTATACAGCCCAACCAAAAATCATTCAGACACCACATATAATTTTTGATATTTTTTTGATATGTTATCTTAACTCTTTCCCTGCCAAACACAGAATTTTTTGTGTTTTCACTGTTGTACGCTAGAGGGCGCTATTAAGCATCTCCTGAATGAGTCTAGAGTCACTCGATCAAAAACGCAGGCGAGGAAGACGCAGAAACCAGCGATCTCAGATGTAAGCGCATGCATATGAAAAATAATGCGATCATCAACACTAACTGCATATAAATGAAAACTGCCTGATGTTAGCGAGTGAAATGTGGATCCAGAAAGTGTGCAAGCTTTGGGAGCGCTGATGGAAGCCATCTACTGCAGCTTTGCTTTGATAATATTACCGAATATGATCCAGATGCAGTATTTGATAAAAATGCAATTTGCTCAAAATGTTGCTTTTTTTAATGAAACCTACCTACATTCAAGTGTTGATAAAAAAACAATGCTTGAAGATAGAATAAAACAGATTTTTTTCTTTGAAAGTAGACGGTCTGATTTTATTGTGATGTATTGCGTGTTCAGATATTCACACAACAAAATATTCTGCGGGCCATGAAATTTTAGTGGAAATCAGCAAAAACGCTGGCGGGGAAAGAGTTAATTATGAACACATTGACGCACATTAATGTGGCTTACTTCCACGTTGAAAAATAAGGTGGATCGTTGTAAGTGAAGATAGCAAAATAAAGTGAACTGTGACATATTATACCCAGAAACTCTTCATAAAGTGGACTAACAGTACAATTTGGGATCAAAAGTGATTCAGACACTTTGAGCTGAGCATGTTTTTCTTTAATTGCTAATGCGATCTTTTTACACCACAGACTGAACTAAATAAAGCACTGCTTGGTAATCGATTGAGCTAGATTGGTATTATCTAATTGTGTTCTTAAATTTAACGGCTGAATTCATTACATACCTTTCTATCAAAGTTATCTGACATTATCAAGATGAGTTTGTTCTGACACAGTTCAACTCTGAGCCACTTTCTAAACTATAGCGAATAAACCGTGGTAATGTGAGAAATGCTGAAGCTTGGTTTGACTGTATTTGCACTCACCGATGTCGATGATGACCGGCTCGGACGCGGGACTAACCAGCGGCCCGTTCGTGTGATAAACCATCACTCTGTACTGAGCGCCGGGGGTCAGGCTGCTGATGATGTCACTGGTGATGTTCTCCTATCAGAGAGCGGAGAGCGGGTCACGTGACATGCTGTGATACACTTTTACAGCTACACTATTAACATGAAACGTCTGGTATAAGGGTTAGACGGTTCTCCGTCAAAATAAACGATTGATGGTTTAAATTAAGACCATAAATATTAGTACTGTAATGTTACGGTTGTAATGCAAATATATATAATACATATATAAATCTATTTCAAATACTCAGTTTTTATTTTGCAGTGAAATATTATAACCGTAATATTTTTTGTTTTGTTTTTATTTAGTTATAAATCTCTCCACAGGCGTAATGGTTGTTATACTGTACAAACTGTATTTTCTATCACCCTACACCAACCCTACACCTAACCCTACCCCTTACAGAGGACTTTCTGCATTATTACTTTCTCAAAAAACTCATTCTGTGAGATTTATAAGCTTGTTTCCTCATAGGGACCTAAAAAAATGACATTTGGTCCCCATAACATGATGAATACCAGGTACACACACACTCACACACACACACACACACACACACACACGCTCGTACTGAGGTAGAAGGTGAATCCAGTGTCGGCTAAACTCTCTCGGGCCTCGCAGTCTCCAGACGAACTGAGCGTTGTGACGTGAACGCCATACGTTCCTGCTTCTGAGAGCTCGGTGAAGAACTCGTGTGTGTTCTCATCCACCGTCGCCGTTTCTGTGGCGTTTCCTGCTCAAACAACAAAGACAAGAACAGAGAAATAGATTTACAAAGGGTTTAACACCTATTTTTATTTATTATTTTATTTATAAATGTTTGAGTTATTAATTATTACTGCCTATTTTACATCAACGCTGGCTGTTTTGGTGGAGTTTCCTGCTCAAAGAACAAGGAAAAGAACATAGAACATGCTTATTTTTATTACTGCCTATTTTAATTTATTTATTATTTATTAATGGATTAATTTGTTACTGTTTAATTGTCATATATTAATTATTATTGCCTATTTATATATATATATATTATTTATTCATTTATTCATTTTAAAAGTTTTATTTTTATTCATTAATTATTACTGCCTTTTTTAAATGTATTTGTTATTTTCATTTATAACAGTTTAATTGTGATGTATTAATTATTACTGCTTATTTTAATTAATTATTGAGAATTTATTTATGAAGTTTTATTTTTATTTATTATATTAGATTGTATAATTTCGAAATCTGAAGCAAAAACAGAATGGTCTGACTTTAGTTTCTATAGACAGTCAGTTCCCCTCAGAGATACAGTCATATAAACTCCTACTCCTATTGTATCGCGATTCGTTTGGCATCTCAACCGATTTGAATCGTCACATATTTGAATCGATTTCAACTGGCTCGCGGTTCATCGTTACATTCCTATTCATTTATAACCGTCTTATTTCGATTTATTAATTATTACTGCCTATTTCAATTCATTTATTATTTTTATTTATAAATGTTTTATTCAATTTATTAATTTTTGCTGCCTTATTTCACATCAACGCTGACTGTTTTGGTGGAGTTTCCTGCTCAAACAACAAGGAAATAAATGACTATAAAGAGGGTTTACACAAACATCAGGTTTTTTGCTGTGTAAAACACGCGACGATTCTCACCGTCGCGGTGGATGTAGATGTTGAATCCGTCGTAAGCGGAGGGTGGCCGCGGCGGTAACCAGCGCAGCTCCAGCAGGATGGGCAGCAGTGGCTTGGGCATCACACTGGGTTCAAAGGTCACATCCATCGCTGACCCCGGCTCATTAGATTCCTCATATTCTGGCACCAGCGCGTTCACAAACTCCTCCTCCTCCTCCTCGGTGGGGGCGGGGCTTCCTGTCGGCTCCGCCCACAGCGGCTCAGTGATGTTGGGTTCGGCTGTGCTGCTATAAACGGTGACGTTGTTTAGTGGCGTCTGCGTGACGCTCATCTCCACACCGTTCACTTCCTCTTCCTGTTCTTCAGCCGCAGGGACGTCACGTGCCTGCCGGAGGACTGATGCATTGTGGGACGCTCCTCGACCGCTGAGGTGGATGATTTTGAGCGACACGTTGAGAGGAGGATTCGGGACTGTACATGAGAAATTAAAACAAAACAAACACCATTTATCATATTTAACTAGAGCTGTCAAACGATTAATCGCGATTAATTACATCCAAAATAAAAGTTTTTGTTTACATAGTAAATGTGTGTGCACATTTGTATATATTTAGGAAACATGTATATATTTAGGAAAAATGTTAAGTTTTAATTTATATATAATATAAATTATATGAATATAAATATATACTTGTAAATATTTTCAAAATATATACTGTATGTGTGTGTATTTATATATACATAATAAATATAAACAGTACACACACACATATATTATGTAAACAAAAACTATTATTTTGGAAGCGATTAATCATTTGAAAGAACTATATTTAACCAAAATGAGATTGATTAAAGGCACAATATGTAAGTTTTCGCCGCTAGAGGTCGCATTTTCAAAACAATAACAAAGGCAAAGCTTGATGACACTATGGAAGAGGATGTTCACGGATAAGCTAATGAATTAATTTTTTTTATTACCTGTACCTTGCACAGTTGTTCAAACAGCAAATAAATTATACAGAGAAAGCGAGCAAAGAACATTTACATTGTCAAAGAACATTATGACTGATTTCAGTCTAGCGCGAGTTTAAGCACTCTCAAAAAACTCCCCTTATAATCAGTAAAGCTGTCTATACACGGTTTGATGAATCTCTTACATCATACGTACATAGGCACTTTGTTGTTTATGATGAGAGAATTCGCGTGAAAGCTGAATTCAATCAACACTGTAAAAATGCATTAAAAACTTTTGGGATAAGGTAAGTACACAACTGCATGAAATATATCACACTGTGCAAGTAGTTTTTGGATATTTTATTATGAAAACCTTACATATTGTGCCTTTAAAGAACAAATAATCCCATTAAATAATTTTAATTATTGAAGAAAAAAGGTGAAAATATATTTCCTATACAAGTTTTCAGGTTATTATTTTTCTGACATTTAAGCACATTTTACTGTTGAGTTTTTTTAACAGTGATTCTAAAGTAGTAATTTATTGAATTGATCAATTTATTTATTAAACGCAGCTTAAATCAAAAACAGTACAAAAACTGTTACCATGACATAAAATACTAATTTAAACAAAATATTATTTTTAATGACAATTATGCACATTTTACTTTAGAATTGTTTTGTAATTGCCATTATTTTCAACAGTTATTCTAGTCATTTATTTAATTGATTATTGATGTATTAATTAATTTATTAAAATGACCTTAAATCAATATTAATACATGAAATATTACCATAACATAAAATATTATTTTACATTTTAGTTTAATTATTATTATGTAATTTAATTATTTTAAACGTTTTTGTAATTATTTTAAAGTTTTTTTTTTTACCATAATGAGAGTGTGGGCCGTAAAAAAATATGTCATTAAAATAATAACTAGGGCTGGGTATTGAGTTCGATACTTTTTAGGCACCGACCGCATTGCCTCGATACCATCGAGTATTGAAAAACATCTCGTCGTTCGGTACCAAATTTCGATACCTAAGGGGTTAATCTCATCAATGTCCGTGGGCCAATAAGCCTGCAGCACTAGGTGTGCTCGACTAGAAGCGGCGCGGCGCAGATCGATATGTGTTTGACATCCGCGAGAGCGATTCGAAAGCGTACGGAGCAGTCTGCTCTCAATAGCTCGTGGTACTGTAATACACCGATCGGTCTGCACAGTCAGTCCACGTCAAGTCGAACACACCTACTAGTTTACACCAGTTACACCAGATTCGGGTGGGAAGCGTGCAATCTGTGATCGCGTGCCATTGCAGACGCTCGCGAAAGCATGCCATCGCTTTCTTATGCGCGCTGTTTTTACGGTTTCACTTTCGCTTTCGAAATCGATCGCGTTCAGCAAGGAGGGGAGAGGATGGAAGGGGGGGGCACGAATACCCCTCCCCCCTTGGCGCCGGCCTGGGTTACACTCAGAGATGTGGCGCACACGTGAGGCTGTAGTGTGAAAGCGTCCCAGCCCCCTTAGATGTAAGGCTACATTTACACTGGTGCGTTTTTGTTTTAAAATGAAAACGATCCTCGTCATACTGGCATTTACACTGCGTTTCAAGCCGGCTTTCCACTATCTTCCATGACAAACGACAAGCGACAGACCGGAAGTCATCCATTTCCAATGGAGAGAAGTGCGGGAGCTACGTGGAGTTCCGATCATATGCAGATGTCCGTTCATACTACACGACCGAAAGCGCCTGTTACGTGACTGTTCATGCACACTGTAGCATCATGCTACATAAGATTTATATTCTGCTTTTACTCAAAACTCACTTTAAACCACCATCGAGTGTTTGTAATAACTTCCGATTGCCGTTCAATGTGTGTTTTGGCCATGTAATGTTGCTGAAATTAAATATGTTATTACCTCTGAGTCAGAACAGCGATTGTGGAAGAGAGAACACAGGCAGACAGCACTGGAAGCTGCTAATGCTCATCAGTTAATCTCACCCACTGCTCCGGGTGTGTGTTCACTGCTGTGTGTGTGCACTTTGGATGGTTAATCAGTGGAAAATGAATAGAAATTATGATTCTGTCTGCGCTATGCGTTTTAAAACGATGCACTAGTGTAAATGTAGCCTAATAGATGTGTAAACTGAAGACTATTTGAGTTTTATTAAAACTATTTGCACTTAATTTGCATTTATTGTCTTGGTTACATTTTGTTCTTTTGTGCAGTGGCTCAGGAGATAAGTCTTTGAGTCTGTAAAAACATCAACAAGCTGAAAAATAAAACCAAGTTTTTTTTTTAGATAATGTAATCTTGTTAAAATTGATTTCATAAAATTGGTATCTAAAAAAGTATCGTTCAGGAACCGGTATCGAAGTCAAGGTATCGGTATCGGTATCGATATTGAACATTTTTGAACGATACCCAGCCCTGATAATAGGTAAAAAAAACTCTCATTAAAATAATTGGTAAAAATATAAATGATCCTAAAAATTGCACTCAAATTGCTGACAGGTTTCATTTATAAAGTGAATCCAGAAGGTTTTTCCATCAGCAATTAATGAGTTTTGTGCACTGCCTGCTCCAGGCTCCAGCTCGTTCAGTTGTTCCAGCACTAATTAAAGGTCATTTAAAGGTGAATTTAGAGCTTATGATCAATGATCACCTGACTGAATGATTCGTACCGGTGCGGTGGCGCAGGGGCTCATGGGTAACGTCGCTGTGGCTCACCAGCGTGCTCCTGTTGACCGTGGCCTCTGAGACCAGCTGGAAGCTGATGTTGGTGTAACACGTGCCCGACAGCCAGTGCTTAAACACTGTCTTCCCTTTGAAGAAATCTGCAGAGATAGAGAGAGTCCAAGTTCAGCCGTGACGAACATACACACACATGTAACACATGTGCGCAACAAACAGAAACACACACACGTAACACACATAGAAACACACATGCGTAACATGTGCGTAACACGCAGAATCACACACGCGTAC